TTATGGTCTGTAAATATAGTAAACTCTGCATTATGTAAATAAACATCTAATTTTTGTAACGCATAATGAATACTGAATGCTTCTTTTTCTATGGTACTGTACTTTCTTTGAGATTCACTTAATTTATGAGATAAGAAGTATATAGGTTTTTCAATACCAGATTTGTCACATTTCTGACTTAAACATGCTCCGACCACTAAATCTGAGGAGTCCGTGTATAGAATATAAGGCTTATTTGGGTCTGGGAATGCTAAAAGTGGAATACGTGTTAACATTTTCTTTAATTGTTCAAAACTTTCTTGACATTCTTTTGTCCATTTAAACAAAACACGTTTTCTTGTAAGATTGATTAGAGGTTCAACAATTTTAGAATATTTAGGGCAAAATCTTCTATAAAAACCAGCAGCACCAAGTAAAGATCTGACATCTTTAACACATTTTGGTACCGGAAGTGACCTAATAGCTTTTACTTTTTCTAGGTCTGGTTTTTTTACCTTCATGATCAATTATAAAACCAAGGTACTTTGTTTGTTGCTGAATAAAACTGCACTTTTTCAGTTTAAGTTTTGATTTATGCTCTTTAAGTTTTGAAAATACTGTCTGTATATGTGATAAATGTTCATTTAATGACTTCGAAAATATCAGAATGTCGTCAAGATAACTGACAGCAAATGCCTCTAAACCTTGTAACATGAGACATGTGACATGAATTCTTGGAAAACTCCAGGGGCAGAAACTAGGCCAAATGGAACCACATTATATTCGAAAAGTCCTTTGAATGTCGTAAAAGCCGTTTTTTCCTTGTCTGATTCATGTACGGGTATCTGCCAAAACCCTGAGCGCATGTCTAGTGTTGTAAAATATTTTGAAGACCCTAGTAGTGTTAAAATATCGTCAATTAATGGGAGAGGATATGATGTTGGCTTTGTAATTTTATTCAATTGTCTAAAATCAACACAAAACCGTTTGGAGCCGTCTTTTTTTCCGACAATAACAACAGGAAATGAATAAGGGCTATGACTTCTTCTTATAATATTAGCATCTAACATCTCATCGATTGCGTCACTCATAAATTTTCTATTGTTTAAAGGTGTGCGATATGGGCGTAATTTGATTGGAGGATGATTACCTGTTGGTATTTTCATGGTTACAGTATCTGTCTGTGATAATTCAGAATCTTTATTTGCGAAAATATTTCTATTTTTCCTTAATAAGTCTCTAACAATATTAAAATGCTCTGAAGGTGTATGAATGTCACGTTCGAAATCGTTGTTAAGAGGGGAAGTTGTTTGAAGAGCCTCTGTGACCGAGTTAATGCTCTCAACTTCTGAAACTTTAGCAACTACTGAATCTCGTTTCAATCTTATAGTTTTATGTGTATTATTGACAATCATAATAGGAAATCTTCTATCAGCCGAAAGTTTCATAACAGAATTTGTTATCATAAGACCTGGTTCAGAAGCAATCATTCCAGTTTCTATACTTTTTAATTCATATAATTTATCATTTTCCAAGCCTGGATTTTGTTTTAACTTAGCAGTGCACACATTAACTGTTTGAGGTTTCAGAATAACATCCTGCTTTAATCTAACAATTGATGCAATATGAATATCTTCTTCGAGGGGTACATATGTATTATTAACTCTTAAGCAGCCTAAATCAAAATATAATCTAACGCCATTTTGTGTTAACCAATCACGGCCTAAAATAATATTTCTATTCATTTTAGAAACAACATAGAATTTTTGAGTTGTTTCTGTTTTCCCTATTTGAAAATTAAGATTTATATAACCATCTATATGTAAATAATTTCCGTCAACTGAACATAAATTTATTTTCTGTTTTATAAGTTGAGGGGGATTCTTCAATTTTCTATATATTCTGCGATGCAGAAGACAAACTTCAGCACCTGAATCTACTAACGATCTGTATTTATAGTTTTCTATTTTAATCAAACACGAATTAGGGCTTCCAGCTAATGCTATACTAAATTTTGGTATATTATCGTTCCTGTCAATGACCCCTTTGTGACAGGAAATTGCTAGTTTTCCTGAAAATTTATTTTGTTTCTGTCGTAAAAATTTTGTTTACGACATTCTCGCATAATATGCCCAAAATTATTACATTTCCAGCACTTAATCTTTGATTTCAAACTATTATTGCTATTATTTTTCCTAAATCGTGAATAATTTTGTCGGTGAAATACAGAATATATTTCATTTTTCCTAAATCTACAATAACGCACATGGTGACCTGGTCTCTTACAGTACACGCAAAAATTTCTTGTATAATAATGATTAGAATTATTTGCTCTGTAATTATTGTATTTTGCGTGATTTTGAGAATTAGAAAATTTTACTCTGGCAGAAAATCTAGCTCTGAAATTCTGTTCATTCATTGCGCAAGTAATTGCTTCTTGTAAGTTTTTGGCTTTTCTCTCATAAGTTTAAGTTTTAAATAATTATGCGCTAAATTATCCGTAAACAATTCTACTAACTGAAGTTCAATTAAACTAATATCTCCTAGTTTATAATTTTCATAAGCGGTTTCAGCACAATTAATAAATTTTTCACCAAAAATTTGAACACTTTCTCCCAAATCTTGTTTTAAATTTCTCAAAAGATAAAATTCATGATGTAAATCTTTAATTTCCCCAAATCTAGTACTTATTTCTTCTTTTAATTGTTCCCACGAATTACGATGATTATCACGCAAATATCTACATATAAAATCGCTTACAGTCCCTTTACTTGATTGAAATGCGACTAATTTTATTTTATTATCATCCAAACCTTTTAAAACAGCATATTTTTCTATAGATTTTATCCAGTCATTAAAATATTTAGAATTTCCATCAAAATTTTGTGCTATTTCTGATAAACCCTGTGTACCTATGACAGTTGAAATATTGTCTAATTTATCCGACACATTTTCAAAAATTGTAGCTATTTCTTGATCTGACATCTTCAAAATTAGCAAATTACAGGTATATAAACGATCACTCACCTTTAATTTTCTGTTTCAGGTACTTCGTTGTGTCCAGCTGTCCAAAATCGTCGCTTCGACATCGCTGGTCTTAGGCGCCAAATCAACCGTTGTCGCATAACGGAGGAAGAACTCACGGATGTTACATACTTTTAATATACAAATACAAACACACAAGTGTACGAGTGGAATACCAAAGCCGAACTGTTTTCTGGACATTTGTGAATAGTATATATAATGACAACCTGTCATAAGAACATTTTATAATGCATTTAAATACACACGTTTTAGAGTTACATGTATAAATCATTTTGACATAAGCTCAGTCTGCATGTATCCTGCACTATAATATTCATAAATCAAAGTCATGTTCCATAGTGCACATTATGAAATAAAAACCTTAATATATGTATACACATGTTGACTTGTCATTCTTTTTGAATATAGCGTGTATGACTCATTAGCCTGTGCAACCAGCTATACGACATAATCATCGGCGACGATATATTCAGATTTTAACCTTTGGAAATTTCTTAATTCGTATAACAAAATCTTATTTATTATGAAAGGTATACATGTGTATATATTTTGTCATTTTGTATTTCTGTGTATAGTATTCCATGTATTCAATACCGAATTGTAAATATATGTTTTATATATTTTCTGTCGTCCTAGCTAATTCTTAAACAAGATATAAATCCATCATAGAGCATTCTCAAACAAGATATGAATTCTTAAAAGTACAAATGCACATTATATTGAGTTTGTATGCATTTGTATACATTATTTACATGTATATTTGCCATTGCCAAATATATGTTGATGTTATGTCGATAGCCAAAACAATTTGAAATATTGAAAATATTCTCTTGATATATATAATACAGTGATTGATATAGTATGAACATCTATAAAACTATTTTTTATTATGTATTTATACATGCGTTGAATGCAGACAAAGTCTCATCCGCGCCGTGTGATGAATGGGTTTAAACAGAGTTCAGATATCTAAAGTTCATTCCCATTTTAAATCCCTTACTTGGTTACCAGTTTGTAAAAGAGTTGAACAAATCATGTTATGTAATGTTTTTAAGGTTAAAAATCAAATGGCCCCAGAGTACTTAAGTGATTGTTTTGTTTCTCAGGAATCTGTGCATTCTTATTGCACCAGACTGAGTAATAAAGGAGGGAATTGTCTTCCCAAGGTTAAAGGTTCCGGGTCAATTTTTTTTAGTTTTATTGGTGCTAAACTATGGGACAGTCTTCCAACTTGTATAACAGAAATTAACAAATTTCATCGTTTTAACGTAGCCATCAAAAGTCACTTTTTAAGTAGCATGTAAGTGTTTTTCTTAAAATTTCTTGCAAGAAAATTTTATATGTTTTAATTTTTTTTTTCGGCTCAGGTTTACTGTTTCATTTTTTTTTAAAATTTGTTTTAAATTTTTTTATTAAGACTTTAAAAACTTTATCTTTTTTTTTGATTAGCGAAATCTATGGCATGTTCTTTCCTTACATACTCATAACAACTGTGATATATATATTTTTTAATGTACTCTTTTCTTAATATGCACATGATTATTTCTTAATGTGATACTGACTTTTTATTTACATTACCTTACATTTTAAATTGTGATAATTTTAAATGATATCCTCCATTAATGTGATTTTTCTTATAATTAGTGATATTTTTTTCTTTTATGCAATACCTCTCTTTGTCATGCCACCAAATGCTAAGGACCACAATGGAAATAAGAGCTTGCTCTTTTTGTGTTATCCTTGGTTTTGGGAACATTTCATGGTTAAACTTTACATAATATAGTATTTATTCATTTATTTATTTACTTATTTATTTATTCATTTATTTGTAATTGTTTTAATCTATATTGTGTTTGTTTATCATGTAACATGTTTACCTTTATTTCGAAACAAATCTATCTATCTATACGTTCATTCAACATATTTAACGTGATTATAACTTAAATATGATTTTTGTACGAATAAATCAATCTTACCTGTTGTTATGAAGAAAATTACAACTATAACTATATACACTATAAGATTGCCATCCATTTCGAATGTCTACTGAAAAGTGCCCAAATTATTAGCCCAATGTTTGAACAATATCATCTGGCAAAATAACTCGTGTTCCAGGAAACTGTTTGGTAATAAACAGAATATTCAATGTGCCGCCTACTAGGCGGTCATATTGGGAAAGTGTATAATAGTTATCTAATTATCATTTATGATGTATGAATAAATGAACATGGATTAATTTTAGCTGTTAGGTTGACATTTTCATTATACGTATTTTCTCATAATATTCATTTTGCAATTTTATTATCTCAGTGTGCGTTTTTTTTCGGCACTCAAAATATTGAAATTTAGAAAGTTGGATAGCTTATCTACTGTTGTTGGCTATCTTCTTTCCTTGGTCATTTCATAAATAAATTAATAAACATAGATGAATGAAACACAATACTTTAATATCTTTTGAATAAAATAATATACTTTCGTGCTTATTGTTGCTGTTGTAAAATACTGTTATTCTAGTGTTACTTTTACTGCTTAAGCCGGTGCTCAGGACGTAGACGATTTTTTGCACTTTATTTGAACCACCCAACTAGAATAGGCCAAATAGTTAGAAATAAATACCACAAACACAACAATGATGTCATGTTGAACGATCTTTAAGATTCGGAAATATAAAATCTCTTATTAAATGTACGAGGCAACACGTAAGACTTTTTTAATGTTTTTATTGAAGAGGTCACCAGACATAACCACAATTTTAAGAATGATTGCTGGCGGCATCAATTTTGCGTTTTCCTATCTAAATGTCAGATGATACATGATTATGTAATTTGTTTTATAGGAACCTTTTAGCTAGTTTGACATTAAAATGAGCATTCCCATGAAACTTAAAGGCAGTTGCTTTTATAATATAACAACGGCTAGATAGATAGTTTTTTTTGTATTCTCAGTCTATCCAGTGAAATTATGATACATTGTAGCCACACTTTTTAGGACTGTTTACCCTAACTGCAAATATCGCAATCAATAGTGTGCCTTATTTTCTTTTCCTTTTCATTTCTTTTTACTTTTTGTCGTGTTTTTTAACCATAACTCATAATGTGTTTTCTATCCGAAATTAAATCACATTAGTTTTAACTAAAAATATTTTAAAATTGGACGTAAACACTCATTTTTACTTCCATTTTTGAGGTTTGTCCATTTATCTGAGGAATAGAAGAAAACTTGAATTGATATAGGGAAAGAAATTTGTGTCACTCGTGCATGCGCCGTGAAAGTTTATATAGTTTAAATAAAGAAAAAATTGCCGTACCGATTTACGACGGTAACAATAATCTGCAAATTCGCCGTAAATAACAACTAGGCAACATATCAACATATTTATTATAGTTAATTATAGTCAGAAAAAATATTATTTCCCAGTTGTGTCAGTGTTGACATTTATACAAATAAATATTTTGTACTTTTAATGATGAAATTACAAAAACATAACATATTTTCTACTTCTGTTTCACCACGACATTTAAAACAATGCTTCATCGGTAACGCATTTATCTAATTATCCCAGGGTTTATACATAATTTGCTTAATTGCTACAAACGATGTTTGACATGTCATCATAATATTGTGAATATCAAAACCATAGAACAAATAATTTAACTAAAAGGAATCATATTATGTCATATTACGGGATTTCGATAAAAAAATTGTGAACTTAAGTAAATATTATATTTATCTGAATAACTAACAAAAATATATTTTGTATAAACTGCCACACTTCTTTAATAAATTGATAAATTTAGGTAAATTTTGATGGATATTTACAGAAATGTCCTTGGGCCACGTAAGTTATTTATCTTTCATGCGAAGTGAATAACAAAATTGAAAAGAACCATCAATCATTTAAATGCGAAGGTGCAAAAATCTGAAAAAAATATCGATTGATCTAGTTATCCAAAAAATTTAAGGCAAATATAGATTTATTTAACTGTTAAAACTGCTATTTATTCCTTAGTCAAAACGTAAGAGAAAACTTAGACGTACTCAATTCTTCAAAATGCTAAGAAATACTGCAGATTTGCTCAATAATTCAAAACGCAGTTGAAAGACTTATAGTCCAACTAATTAGACTTGTCAAAGAGACACCGAGATAATTTTGGAC